CAAGCATTGGCTGCCAGGGCTGTGCAGGCACAGGGAGCGGGTTTGGAGACTTTTTGTCAGGCCCATATCATGTCCATGCCTCTTTGCCATCTGAGAGCCTGACCCCATTTCCTGGGCACTGTGGCTGGCATGCTCCTTCCCCTTGCCTTGCAGTGTGCTCAGCTGTGGCATGCTCTAAAACGGGGGAATAGTGCAGCTGCAGGCTCTCTAAGCAGAGCAAGCTCACAGGCTGTGCTCGCCACCTGCCTGGACCAGCTCTAGGGACTACTGATGAATCTTGGTTAAAAGTGCTCTCTTATTGAGGTTTGCGTTTTCCAACACAGGCATGGTTTGTTTCTCTGTTGTGTTTTTTTGTTGTTGTTGTTGTTGTTGAATGGGTTGGTTTTTGTTTCTCCAGGCCTGGTAGGTGATCCATAAGTATTAACAGATGCTACATTCATTCATACAGACTTCTGTACACATCCTAGTCAATTGTCCAAGAATTTGGACCCTCCCTGTTTCAGATCTGAGGTGTGAGTCTTGGTCCTGGAGTAATTAAGCCATAGCTTTTGCCCCGCTGTTCTTTTTCAGTAGTGTACAGCATGGCGGTCATGTGCCCAACATGACCATCAGGTGACCTAGGCTCTGATCTTAATGACTTTGGACCAGTGACTGTGCTGTTCCTCTGTAAGGTGGGAAAAACAGTAGTGTCTACCTCAGCAGGCTGCCAGGAGGATGAAAGGAAACCAGATGGATATGGTGCGGTGCAGCAGAGGACCACCTGGCTCAGAGAAAGTACCTAAAGGAGTATCACTGATGTCCCCCAAGTAAATAAGTCCTGAAGTACAGGAGTCACTCTTGCTGCTGTAACAGACACATGCAATCACTGCTAGAGGTCAAATCTAACATGGGTCTCACTGGCTAAAGTCAAGGGGTCAGCAAGGCTAGTCCCTTTGGGAGGCTCCAGGAGAGAATCCATTTACCGCCTCCTGCAGCTTCTAGAGGCTGCCTAGTTCCTTGGCTGTGGCCCTGGCCTCCATGAGCCAGCAGCATAGCTTCTCCAGTTCCCACCTGCCATCCCCTCTCCCTCTCTGGCACTGACTCTCCTACCAACCCTTACAAGGACCCTGTAATGACATTGGGTCCACCTAGATAATCCAGGATTCTCTCTCCATTTCAAGATTTTTAATACACCTACAAAATTCTTTTGCCATGTAAAGAGACAGGTTCATGGGTGCTGGGGATTGAGATTTGGACATCTTTAGGTCCATCATTCTGTCTGCCATACCTAGAAGGTAACCTTTGGTTGCACAGAGACTAAGTGAAACTTAGTCTTAGCTCACTGAAGAGAATAACTGACATTTTAGCGGGTGAAGAAGTGAGTATACAAGCCAGTGATGACCACCAACCTAGTCTCCCTTCTTTGGTGTATGTATGCACAGGACCCCAACAGAGCCACTGAGACAACAGGCAGCAACACAGGTGGCATAGAAGGAAAGCAAAGCAAGTCACAGCAGCTGAAAAAGGTCTTTCAAGAATACGGTATAATCGGCGTATCTCTGCACATTGGGATCTCACTCATCTCCGTGGGGCTGTTTTACATGGTGGTCTCCAGGTAAGGTTTCTGATGGTAATAGGTATATGTTTTAATGTCATGTAAGATCCTATATGAATGAGAACTTGATTCCTAAGACCTTTTTATTCCTCCAGCTACTTTTATAGGATCTTTAAAAATGTGATAAATTTTACAGCCAAACAAATTTATTAACTTAAACCCTTGCTATACTTGTGTTTTGTTTTGCCTCCCCTCCAGTGGTGTAGACATGTCTTCGATCTTGCTCAAACTCGGATTTCAAGAGTCACTGGTACCGTCCAGTGTGGCAACCAGCACCAGCACGTTTGTGGTGGCCTACGCAATCCACAAGCTGTTTGCACCAGTGAGGATCAGCATCACGGTAGTCACTGTACCCTTCCTTGTCAGATATTTTCGGAAAGTAGGACTTTTCAAACCTCCAGATGCAAAACCTTGATGGGCACCTTGGTCCTTAGCACTGAAACCCTGTTTCTTTTAAATTACCTTATTTGGATTGGTTTTTAATATTGTAGGTTTTGGGGGGGGGGGGGGGTGGTAGGAAAGGCCTGGTTGTTATGTTCTCATGGGTTAATTTTACCTTTGCCAGCCAAAAGCAGGTTTTTGAATAATTTTTTTTTGCTTTTTAGTTTGTTAATGCTACTCATCAGAGGGCTCTGTACATATCTGTCAGCAAGACATCATAAGTGAGCTAGCATCTCAACACCACAAACACCTATAGATCATTCCCTCTAGAAAACCACTGGTAAGGGTGTAACTGCAAAACACTCAGGGGGCTAACCTTTGCTCAAGTTCTTAAAAAGCAATGATTGATTTAGCTGGTTTTAAAAATTTCCCCTCCTCTTGAGTTACCATTAACGGCCTGTAGTTTAACCTGCAATGTTCTGCAAAACAGCTGCTTGTGCTGCACAGTTAATAAAGCAGAACTTAACAATGTGTGCTAATTCCACAATCTAAATTAGCACCAGCCCCATGACCCGCATTACACTTTTGGGAAAAGAAAGCATTTCTGCTGTTTCACTGGTCCCAAAACACTTTCAAATCTGAACATGGGGCCCATCTCCAATGGCTTTTCTGAAGTCAAGATCATTTCTCTGTTCAGGTAAAACATGGGAACCTTGGCCTAGAGCATCACTTGGCTTCCAGTGCCCATATTCACAGAGGAATTTGGCACATATGAAAAGCTGAGACAATCTTTGCTTAACTCTGTCTCAAACTTCAGATATTCCAGAAGTCACAATGTTTACACTAATTACTTTTTTAAGCTAAAATTATATACCTGAAAGATTTATAACACTTCCTTTAAAAAACTAGTAGCACTTAGCCAGGTGTAGTGGTACACACCTATAATCCCAATGACTCAGGAGTCTCAGACAGGAGAATTTCAAGTTCAAGGGCAGCCTGAGCAACTTAGGAAGACCCTCAGCAACCTAATTAGTGAGACCCTGTCTCAAAAATAAAAAGCTCTAAGGATGTAATAAAAGCACCCCCCAAGTTCAAACCCCAGTACCAAAATAAAAAGAAAACTTGTAAGAAGGCAACCGTGAAGTAACACAAACCAGGGAGTGGAGGCAGCAGGTGTAAATTAGTCCACCAAGCCAGTTTCATCCAGCCAAGGGCAAGAGTCAGGAAGATTAGACCAGAATTAGAAATAACTGAGGCTTCCCCCTCTGTGGGATTCAGCATCAATTTCTTTCCTGGGGGCTGTGCTCTGATACAGGGTCTTGCTCCACACTCTGGGAACCCGGTTTTAACAGTTACTCTGCTGCATGTTTGAAGGTTGCATTTATCTTTCTGACTCACCATTCCTTTTTTTTAAGACTAAAGGAACTATTAAGTGACTACATTGGTTTTACTGAGTCTGGCCGTTGACACTTTCCTAGTTAACCCATAGTTGCCCAGGCCAATCAGTATCTGTTAATATTTAAAAGAATTTCTATGGGACAGACATCCATTTGCAATATCACTTTATAGTGGAACTATATATTTTTCCCACTTTAAAATTGTTAGTCCACTTCCAAAAGCACTGATTTAAAAGTGGAACCTAATTCCAAAGGATATCTCCACAACTGAGCAAGATGCCCAACACCAGTGCTAATTTCTCTTATGGTCTAGACAGCCATTAAACAGTGATCTGTCAGCCTTGGGCTCCTAACCCCCATATGCACCAGTCTCCCAGATACCTAGCAATGCCTATGCAAAAAGCTGACCTTGCAACTTGAGGTGATGCACTATCATCCCTGCTACTTGAGAGAGTGAGGCAGAAAATCGAAAGCTCAAGGCAAGCCTTGGCAACTTAGTGAGACCCTGTCTCACAATTTAAAAAAGGCCTGGGTGTGCAGCTCAAATAGAGCACTCCTGGGTTCAATCCCCAGTACTGCCAAAAAAAAAAAAAAAAACACTAGTCAAAAGCCTTACAGGACTAAGGGTTTAAATCTGCCAGTAATGGAAATGGAAAAAACAAGCAATAATACAAATCATAACAAATAGCCATATCACTTCCTCACCCCCAATCCCATTCTACTCCTGTGGCCAAGACAAAAAAAAAAAAAAAGAGAGAGAGAACAAGGTCAAAGGATCAGGGAAACCAAGCAATCACCAGCAAGATGTACTGACTGCTTGTATTTACATTGTTTTTAATGGAACAAAAGGAATGAAACTGATCTATTTTAAAAATGCAAGCTGTTTGCCTGATTTTTTTAATCTGACATAGTGAAACGCTTCAATTCTGTGAAATAAAGTTTCTGAAGATTTTGTTTTCTGGTAAACCATGACTGTTGATCACAAACAGCATTGACCAGGGTGCCAACGTGCTGCCACAGTGAGCTACGGTGCTTGTGTGGGACTATCTGGGGAAACATCCTGAGCATTCTTAGCTAGCATCACTGCCATCGCATAGCACTGAGACAGACGGGGCTGGATTGTACATAAGTGTTACTACTCTGGTCTCAGAGTGGCTTGCCTTAAGGGGCTCACCTCTGTTTTGAAGCCTAATACTTTGTCACTTAGATGTGGAAGTTTCTTTGTGCTGCCATATTGACATATCTGAAATCTAGTCTCTTGCCTTGATTCAGCCATGAAAGCAACATTTCTCTACTGGGTCCAAGTTAAACACTTCCACCTTTCCTTCATTGCTGTCACCCTATCTTTGGTTGATGGACAGAGGACACCAGGAACTACAGACTATCCAACAGTCAAGAGGGTGAGAGATGCTCCCTCTGTCACAAAGTCAGGGAATGTGAATTTAACCTGGAGCATAACCTGTTCACCACAATGAACAGGTGGTGAAAATATTAATTAACCATGCACTACAGGTAGACCCCCCCCCCCAAAAAAAAAAGCCCTTAACATTTAGAAACAACTCCTACATCACACAGCATTAAGGAGGACAAGAAACCACAGGCTTAATAAAGTTGACAGACACTGAATCTAAGGGGATGCCATGGAAGGAAAAAACCATATAAAAACCTTTATTTTAACATTTAAAAGGAAGTCACATATTCATTCCAACAGCTTTCCCAGGCTTGACCACCCAATAAGTTAACACAGACACTCAGGTACTTGAAGGTTGCTATACAGCTCCTTAGCCGACTCAGGGCAAAGTGGTCACTTTTCTTCACAACCAGACTCCCAGTCTGTCTCCTGCAAGGCCACCTTGCCTGGCACAGCTGTGGGTACAGCTACAGGCGAAACCCGTAAAACCAGCACGACTTGTGGCTGCTTTCCCTCTGAAGGGTGTGGTTACTATAGTGGAGCTCTCTGGGCAGGGAGGCTGAGGCACTGCATGCTCAGCAGGACAAGTGACATTTCCCATAGTGCTCTCTTTAGGTCAAAGGCAAGTAGGTACTCAGACGAGTCTCAGCAGCATGTTCCTGAAGACTATATAGCAGCCCTGGTTCAACACTTCTCTCCCTGCACGATTATGATTATTTGCTAGTTGACTCTTTGCCTTTCTGGCAATTCAGTGGCTTTGATGAATTTGCTGTGATCCAGGGGTGTTCAAGTACTTCACTTAGAGTTGGCCTCTGGCTTGGATTATGCTTCAACAGTCTTGAAATGAGGTCCCTGGCTCCCTCCGTCACAAAGTCAGGGAATGTGAATTCAACCTGGAGCACAAGTGACAACATGTCACAAACACGAGTTAGAGAGACCAAGTTGCCTAGCTATTCCAACCTTAGCTTAAAGTTCAGGCTGATAAGAAAATAATTCTAATAGTGCTGGTCCTTTTGTTCGTCTTACCCGTGATATTCTTCTGTAGGTCTCTTGGTGTGTGTTTGCCTCAAAAGGAGGCTGCCCAACTAGAAATTCATAGCAAAGAACTCCAAGGCTCCAGAGATCCACCTTCTCGTCATGCATCCGGCCTTCAATCATCTCAGGGGGCAGGTAGTCCAGGGTGCCACAGAGAGTGGTTCTCCTAAAGAATGGAGGCTCAGGTTGATGTGCTCTGGTTTTAAAATCATGGCAGCTGCTAAATCATTAATTATGCTAACACTGACTGAGCGCCCCCACCAGGCCAGACCCCATGCTATTCAGGAAGCACTGTCAACCCCATTTCTGGGCAGAGCACAGAAGAGAGAGATGTGTAAGATCACATAGCTAGCAACCAAGCTTTAGCCCAAATCTATCCGGCTATAGAACCTCTGAATAATCTAGAAGAGACTGAAAGTATCATTAAAAAAAAAAAGCTGTCTTACAAAGTTCTCTGTAAATGTAGTTCACGTGACACCATAATCAGAAAAATACATTTAAAAAATGTAAGGGATAGTCTAGATCAAGACCAAAGAATGAAATACCATGGATGGACCTTTATTGGTTCTGATTTTTAAAAATAGCTATAGCAGGGCACGGTGGCTCACACTTGTAATCCTAGCAGCTGGGGAGGCTGAGGCAGGAGGATCACTAGTTCAGAGCCAGCCTCAGCAAGTGAGGTGCTAAGCAACTCAGTGAGATCCTGTCTCTAAATAAAAATACAAAATAGGGCTGGGGATGTGGCTCAGTGCCCCCAAGTCCAATCCGCAATACAAAGATAAAATTTCATGGACAACTGGGGAAATTCGAACATAGATAAAGATATGAACAACACTGTTAATTTTCTAAGGTGTGATAATGATTGTGATTATACAGGACAATCCCTTGGTTTTTAGGTGGTGCTCAAGGATCATGATGCTGTAGCCTATTTTCAAAAAAACAGATGCAGCCAATATGGCAGTATTAAGACCTACTGAATGGAGGCACTGGGCAGACCAGCATGCTGTCCACTACCAACTCGGCCATTTCATAACAAGGTTAGGAATAAGCTAGGGATGACAGGCATGCAGCCAGGGGCAGACTATGGAGGTTCCTGTTGCTTTGAGCTGCGCTTAGCCTTGCCTGGTGTCTCGTGAGCACACAAATGTACATTCAGTGAAACAGGTATGCAGCTACCTGTGCAGATGTCCAAGCTCTCACCCCCACTGAGACCTACATCAGGGGCTCTCACACAGTGGTCCACAATAACCAGGAAACTGTTATAGTTATTAACATTCAGGATGCAGGGTGACGTGGCCATCAACATTTATATAAATGATCTCTCCAGAAAAAATAAGCCTTGTATTTTCTGTCATGATGACACCACTGGACACATTAAGGTCAAGCTAAACCCTGCAGCCTCATGAAACTACAATTCTAAGAGACTATAACAGCAGATTTAACATATGGCAGACAACAGAAATGACCTATTAAGACCTCACCCCTGTTGTCTATTTTAGGCTACACAATTTCTTTTAACTGACTTTATCTTAATAACTACCACCTGATGACTTTTAAAGTCCTCCCTCAAAGCTGACAAGCCTGAACAGTAGATATACACTTTACAATGTCCCACTCACACCAGGCGTCAAAGCTTATTTAAACCCAAATCAATTTAAAACCTGCTCTTGTTGGGCAGGTTCACCTAAGGCCCAATTGTTTCATTAGATGATGTCTCTGTTCATTTTTAAGGGGGTTAAAGAAAGGACTGTTCCTCCTGCTGACAAAAAGCAAACAGACTCTTTTATCACCATCCTCAGACATCCAGCCAAACCAATTTGGTTTTCAAAGTTCCCCAGAAAACTGTACTTTCAGCTGTAGATCTCTGTAGTGCTGTCTCTGGAACTTTCCTTGTCTCCTTATCTGGGAAGCAACAGCATCTCCTTCCCACCATTAAGGTGGACTTTTCTCTACACATCTGCATCTTGCTTAGACTTGTCACATGTTGACTTGTCCATCCTCTTCATTAGTCTCTAAAGACATTCAGCATCCTTAACAGTGGGCCCAGAGTGCCATATATAGACCTACCTGGCTATACAGAATAAAGTTTTCTTAAAGACAACATCTATTATCAGACCTAAATTATTTCTGGGTTGGTCACTTGCCCCAACTTAACAAAATATTTTTAGAGATTTTTGCACTTAGTATATGATCAGCCCCCAGAACTTCTGCTAAACAACTTCCACCTTTATAATGTTACATACCTGGAGGATGGAGCATGTACTGACCACCCAAAATCTGCAATCTTAAGCTCGCCAGTTGATCCAAGAAGCAGGTTCTCTGGCTTAATGTCTCTATGAATAACTCTCTTTGAATGGCAGTAAGATAGGGCGTTTGCTAATTCAGTTATGTACTATTGAAAAAAAAAAGTATCAAACGTCTGTTTTAGGTCTTGAACAACACAATATCAGATCTTTTCTAAAAGAAAATACAACAGATTTTTAACATGTTTTGCAGGTTTTAAACACTGTAGAAGCAATAGATAAGTCTATATAAATCAATTGAACATCAAATTATTCAGTATTTAGTTACCTCTTTGCCAATACAGCTGATGTGACATTATTGAAAGACAGGAAAGATCGATTATGAACTATAACTACACCCCCTCATGACAATTGATGGCCCAGCTACAATGAATTAAGTAATCAGTGCTGAAGAACTCAAATTAGGGATTCATGTAATTTTTTTCTTTTACATCTTTTAAGTGCAGTCAATTCCCATTTTTTAAAACCAAGATCACTCTACAACAATATAACCTGTTTGAAGATAAAAATGTACTTCAGGAGTATCAGGAAAAAATTATTCTAAACCATAAACAAACTAGACTTAAGCTCACTGGCATATCAACAATGCCATCTATGGTTTCAATGTGTCCCTCAAAAAGCATGAGTTGGAAACTTAACCCTTGATGCAACAGTGTTCAGAGGAGGGCCTAAGGGGAGATGTGTCTGGGTCATGAGGGTACCACTCTAATGAGTGGATCAACACCAATTTGTCAATGGGCTTGAGTTCCCTCTCTTCCTCTGTTGCACTTACTCTGATGCTTTCCTCCATGGATGATACAATAAGACAACCCCAGCCAGAGCCACCAAAAAAATAAATAAATAAAATAAAAAGGGATAGGGATATAGCTCAGTGATAAAGCATTCCTGGGTTCAATCCCCAGTACCAAAAAAAAAGACCACCCTAACCAGATGTGGGACCCTTGCTGGACTTCCCAGCCTCCAGAATTAGAAGAAATAAATTCATTCTTTACACTGACCCAATCTCAGGTATTCCATTATAGCTGCATAAAACAACTAAGAAAAACTACACAATCATGCAGTATATTAATTCATTAGTCAGCATAAAAGTATGCCAAAACAATGTTATTTGTTTCCTTAAGTTTTTTTTTTTTTTAAATATTGTTTACTGTCAATGGACCTTCATTTATTTATATGCGGTGCTGAGAACCAACCCCAGTGCCTCAAGTTTTAAGGGGTTTTTGTTTGTTTTTGTACTGGAGATTGAACCCAGGGGTGCTTAACCACTGAGCCACATTCCCAGCCCTTTAAATTTTTTGAGACAGGGTCTCACTAAGTTACCTATGGCCTTGGGGTGTTGCTGAGGCCGATTCCCAATTTGGAATCCTCCTGCCTCAGACTCTGGAGTTGCTGGGATTAGAAAAAACTGACATGCTGAAATTTTAAATTAAAAACTGCTTTGTGAAAGACATAGATGAGAAAAAACAAGGCATAGACTAGGAGAGAATATTTGCAAATCACATATAATAAGGGACCTGTATCCAAAACATAACAAGGAACTCTTAAACCTCAGTAACAACAACAACAAAAAAGTTAAAAGTGGCAAAGAGTTCAACAGGTGCCTCAAAGATGATATACAAGCTCAATGTCATCTGCGATTAAAAAACTGCAAATTAAAACAAGAAAATACCACTACACACCTATAGGAATGAGTAAAGTCCAAAACACCAACATCAAATGCTGGCAAGGATAAGAACCAGGAAAAGAAGAAAGCTGTCACGTCCCCCCCAAAATACTGATGAATCTTAAATGCTTATTACTAGGTGAAGGAAGCTAATTTTAAAAGGCTATGTGCTCTTATGGTTCCAATTATGATATTCTAGAAACAATAAAACAATAGACAGTAAACAGCTCAGTGGTTGCCAGAGACTGAGGAAGTAGGACTGAGCAGGTGATGCCAGGTTTACTGGCTGTGAAACTCTTATACACTACATGGTGGATGTATGATGTTACACGTTTCAAAATCCACCGAACTTTATAGCATTAAAAGTGAATACTGGGCTGTATTATACCCAGCAGCTCGGGAGGCTGAGGCAGGAAGATCACAAGTTCAAAGTCAACCTCAGAAAAATCAAGGTGCTAAGCAACTCAGTGAGACCCTGTCTCTAAATAAAATTAAAAACTAGGGCTGGGGATGTGGCTCAGGGGTCAAGTGCCATCCTAGGATATTATGAAGAATCTAAGTATATTACAAATGTATGAAACAACCTCACTGATGAGTGTAGATGGAGTATGTTGGCCTAAATAACTTTGGAAACAGTGTCTATAAAACAGACAAAAGAAATTGTGTATACTACTCTAGTTGACAGCTGTTCCCATGGGTTAACTGGTTAGCAGTTCTGACATATGTGTACATATGTAGTAATGTAGGTACACTAGACGTGTAAGTAAATGCATGGTAGACGGTGAAATCCAGGTTTCTCAATGCTGGCTTAGTAGTCCTAGATAGGGGAAGGTGGTCAGATGATCCATGTGGTAAGATTGGGTAAAGATTTCAGTATGAACTCATGTTTACTTTTAGATATAGATGGGTAACTATTTAGACACAGGTATATACATGATTACTGTACATATGTATTCCCTTGTGCCCTGTCAACCAAGGTCCCAGAAGCAATGATCCCCCCCCAGTGGTACTGAGCACACCCAGCATCCAGAGTTGGAACAGTCTGTTCATCAAAATAAAGTAGTATTGGATTATAAATCAGAATAAAATAATATCCATGAGTCCTTTTATGTATAATGGTTGAATATAATAAGGAAGAGCAAGCAAGTTCTCTGGTACATAATTCCTGATAATTTACCTAAATCCTTCTCCCACTCTCCACTCAGTGTAGGCTTTGTGCAGCAACTTTCTTTGAAAGGATATTAGGGAAAGGGGGAAAGCGGGAGCTTCATGTGGCTACACCTGACAAACACCTCCTGAGGTGCATGCTATAGCCCCTCCACCGCCCCAGGTATTGGTTATGTTAAGAGTGCGCATCCCAGGGGCTGGGGATGTGGCTCAAGCGGTAGGGTGCTCGCCTGGCATGTGTGCAGCCCGGGTTCGATCCTCAGCACCACATACAAAGATGTTGTGTCCACCGAAAACTAAAAAATAAATATTAAAAATATTCTCTCTCTTTAAAAAAAAAAAAAAGAGTGCACATCCCAGACATGATACAAACCCACTTGCCCTCTAAGTCTTCCTCTCAAAGCCCGTAGGCCCTACCCAACGATGAGAAATATTACCCAACTCTGCAAAAGCATAGACTAGTTAATGGTCACATAAATACTGGCTCATTATCTGTGACAAAAGTACCATATCAATGCAAGATGTCAATAGGAGCTAGGCACAGGCACACGGAAACCTTCTACCTTCTTCACGACTGCTGTGAATCTGAAGAATTTACCATTCTAAAGTAAACCATCATTTTTAAAAGATGGCAACTGTCTATACACATTTCCACAGAAAAAACAGCTATGGAAACAAACCAGTCACAGCATTCCACCAGGTGCCTAGTTTTATCTGCACATCGGGTACAGCTAAGCTCTTTTGATTTTGCCATTTCAAATGTTTGAACCTATTAAGCTACCTTTCCATTAAGAACTTATTCTACTATAACGAAAGGCAGGTTTGCATTGGAAAATAGGTATAAAGGAAACAATTAGCCTGGACAATAAATGAAAACTTACAGTAGCAGTTCTCTGCTCATCAAACTTGGAAAGTTTCTGAAGTTCTCTATAGACTGTTCCAAGCGGTGCATACTCTAGAATTAGGTAAACTCTGGTGGCATCATGAAAATAGCCATACAGCCTGAGAATATTAGGATGCCTACAACAAAAGATAAGGACTGTAACATCTGATTTCAGAGCTGACCCCAAAGTAATACCAAGAAAAACCCTCATGTAAATAAAACCAGTGGTGTTTCACACAATAGCCTGCTCCCCAACCCCACCTGAGAGTCTGAAACTATAGGCTTGCTCTAAGAAAAATACACACACATTGTCATTTTACACACATTTTAAAGTATTATAGGAGCTTTAGTTCAGACTACTATTTCCTTCCTATAGGCATCACTATTCTTGAGGGGAAAATCTAGCTCAATATTATTCTACATACTAAAAGAAAAGAGCATGATATCCACTCAAAAGAGTGTCACAAGAGCAGGGTGCAGTCATGGCAGCAGCCAAATGCCACAGGGCATGGGTGGCACAGCCTGTCTTGCTTGCCACATCCAGATCCCCCACCAGGTGATGGCAGGTGGAATACAGGCCAGATACTGCCAGAGTGCAAGTATTAGCACCTAATTCAAATCTGAAAAACACTGAAAGCAAAAACATCCACTGACCAGCCAAGCAAAAACATCCCGCTGACCAGAGGCAACTTTTACTTAGCTCAGAAAAAAGGGTGGCAATCCTCTTAATTATCTCCCACACACATACCCCCCCCCACACACACACACGCACACACACCTCAGCAGCAAGCCCCAGGTAAATTACTTCCTTAACAAAACATTAAATCCTCAAGTGATTTTTCAGGACAATAGCACCTAAGTATTTGGAAAATGACATATTTAATGGTTTTTCACGACACTATGAAGCAAGCCCTCTAAAGAGAGATTTCAGCTTTTTAACATTTAGGAACTTTAAGTCCCAAAAACCACTCCTCTGCACAGGAGCCTGGACACTCACCGGAGGTGGGACTGGATCTCTACTTCTCTTCTGAGCTGATGCTCCACTCCTGCTTTCTCCAGCTGAGCTTTAAATAACACTTTAAGAGCCAGAATAAACTTGCTTTGTTTTTCTCTTGCCAAATAAACATTGCCAAACTTTCCTTTACCCAGTGGGCGACCAATGTCAAAATCTTCCAAAGTCCATTGCCTTCTAAAAAGTAATTTGAACATGTTAAAGTATGAAAACAAATATTTGCTAACAACTTATCAATTAGTAGCAGACATTCCATAAATAATTTTATATTCAAAATTACTTAATACGTACCCTCAACAAGAACCAAGTCACCAGTAACAAGTTGCAATCAGTCACTAATCCCCAACTTCCCCAGCTGCCATTAGCTCTATGAGGCAGTATTTAGGAATAATGTTGCATTTTTAAAAAAGCAGCCCTCATTGGGAATGTCCTGGGGCTACTCCAGGCTCAGCCGTATAGGCCTACCAACAACTCTAAAAACCAAATAAAAGGATAAGTAACTCCAGAGGAAGAGCACTCAGGACCCCTGTGGTCCTGTGTCAAACCAACCACTTCCTTCTATCCTGAGGAGCTAACCCTTTCTGAGGTGGAGAGCCCACTCTAGAGGTAGACACAGAAATACTATACTGTTGCTAATGGAAGCAGGCGGGACCCCACAGGCCAGTGGGGCATGAGAACTACTAGAGTTCAATTCTGAGAAAGGCTGTTAGGCAGCTAAAAGCAAAAAAGACTATGGAGTCATTCCTGGTCCTGCTCCCCCATGTTAGAGTCCAGTTCAGAGATTAACAGCAGGTACTTAGAAAATGGGGTAGATATCACAGCCAGCCTTTTTAGTACACAACAAATGCAATAATTATATCAGTACTACAAAATACCTACAGTCACATACACATTTAACAGTTTTACAGTGTGACAGTTTTTTAAAAACTTGCACTTTTAACCAGGTGTGATGGGTAGTCAGCTACTCATTAGACTGAAGCTGGAGGATCACTTGAGCCCAAGAGTTTGCAGCCAGCTAGGCAATTAGTAAGACCCCAATTCAAAACATAACAAAAGCACCTGAACTTCTACATAAGAATTAAAAAAGCATATACAAGTCACACGCAGAGCACATGGAAGTTATACACACTGGTAACTTCTGAGGGTAGAGAAGAACTGCACATTTTCTGTAACAGAGTCTTACAAGTTTTTTCTATATTTAAAAAGCAATTTAAAAGAAAAAGCCCCTAGTAAATACCTATATGGGGAGTGGGGGAGACTTGTTTACGATTCTGGAAACATTTTTCTTCTAAATGAAGATAAATTCTCATGAGCTGGGCACAATGGTACACACCTGTAATCCCAGCTCAGGAGGCTAAGGTGGGAGGTTCACAAGTTCAAAGCCAGCCTCAGCTATTGGAGCTGGGAGGATATAGCTCAGTTGGTAGACTGCTTGCCTTGCATGCACAAGGCCCTAGGTTCAATCCCTAGCACCACAAAAAAAATAAATAAAAATAAAAGAGCTGGGGATGTGGCTCAGTTTAAGCATCCCTGAGTTCAGTCCCAGCATCCCCCCCGCCAAAAAAAAACCTCATAACTCTGCAATGAAATGGTATATTTTACTAGACTGATAGTATAGAACTTGATAAATAAGAAAGCTTACTTCTTTGAGTCTTCATTTTTCTGTTTTGATGCCAGTTCCCTTTCAGGATTATTTCCTATAGTGAATAAATTAAAATCCTATTTTTAGAACTATATAGAATAAGGTTTTTGTTTTGTTTTTTTAGAAAAGATCAAAGAACATCCACCAAAATATTAATAGTATGTCACAACTGATAATCTGGGCTTTCTTAGTTTCTTTATAGAACAATGTCTATTAAACCCAAAGGATTCCCACCATGAGGTCTGTACAAAATGAGTAACAATGTATACAGTTAGGCCTTCCAGTAATAATTTAAAGACAAAGAATATGCAAATTTGCATTGAAGTCTCAGTTTACAGTGAAGAGCTTCTAGAGAGTCTTTCCACCCATGACAAACTGTGGCCTTGTCACCACCTCACTACATGGAGCCATCCAGCGTCAGTACAGTACATCTCAATCATCAACAGCATGCAACAAAACATAAGACAGCCACCCTCCTTACAAGGTGAAATATAGAAATACAGCAAGCAGTTGCAAAGCAAGAAATTAGAGTCACCATTTCATTAGCTGTGAAAACACAGGACATTTCAGCTGTCTTGCTCCAATACCTCAACCCTTCTCAGCACAGTATGCTCCACTCAGGTGTTGGAATGCAGGTCCACACTGCAATGACGTAGGAAGCCAGAATGTGCCACCCAAGACACTTCTCTGGCAGATTTCAAGCTGCTATTTTGGGAAAGCAGCAGACAGGAGAGCTCTGAAAAGCTAAGCTTTCCTAAGAACAACGCACATCTTTAAATCAAACTGACATAGGAAAGCACCTGCTAGAGGAAGAAGCTGGGAGCAAGGCCATCACCTAAGAGACTTTCTACCAGCTAGTAGCACAGCCCAGGCTCCCCATGCTTTCACCTTCCTGCCCTCTGTGGCCTGGCACTGCCTCCCTCCTCCCAGAAGCCCTGGGCATCCACTACATTCTGCAGCTCAAGATGCTATGTAAATGTCGATCCTCTGGCCCTTGGAGCTCATACTTTGTGATTCCTGGGCAATACATGGAATTAAAATGGCTTTTCTTGGGCTGCGGTTTGGTAGAGCGCTTACTTGGCACATGTGAGGCCCTGGGTTCAATCCTCAGCACCACATAGATAAATAAATAAAAGTATTTTTTTAAATGGCTTTTCTCCCATTAATCTGTCTACTGTCAGTATATTTTACAGATCCACTTACCAAACCTTCTAAGGGTGGACAAGTTCTTTTTCTTCCCTACACTATTATCCCTAACTCCTTCTTACTCATCTTTCAGGCCTATCACCCAATTCTCTCAGTCAGCATCCTAAATGAGCTCTTAAATTTATTGGCACCTCTCCCTCCTGGCTGTCTTTGCGTAAGTTAACTACTTCTGAGTCTTAGCTTCCTTCTCTATGAAATGGAGTTAACAACTTTGGCTACCTTCATGAAGTAGTTATGAAGACTGATAAGACAACATGGGTGAAGGAGTCATTTGTCTCAGAGCCTGATGTAACACTCAACTGCTGATAAATAATAACTGTTGGCATTTACCCTGCTCCACCCTACTTGGATCACTGCCACCCTGATTTCATCCTTCTTCCTACCTGGGAACCCTGGGTCCGGCATTGCTGCTCTCCAATTCACACAATACCTCCCAAGGAAGCTTTCTTAAAGGCTTACCAGTCCCATCTCTGCTCAAACCTTCAGTATCACCAGGCGTGGGCAGCACACACCTATAATACCAGCTACTCGTGAAGCTAAGGCAAGAGGATTGCAAGTTTAAGGCCAGCCTGGGCAACTTAGTGAGTCCCTACCTCAAAATTAACATTTTGAAAATGGGCTGGGGACTTAGCTCAATAGAGAGCATTTGCCTAAATATGAGCAAGGCCCTGGGTTCCATCTCCAGTACCACAAAAACCTTCAGTAGCTTCCCAATGCATGAAATGAAGCCCCACCCCCTTAACAGTAGCAGCAGTGCCCCATGTGACCTGACCCATCATACCTGTGTGCCTCTATTCTGCTTCTCTGGTATTTCCCTCCACATGCCCAAACTTTACATTTCCAGTTCCTCAAATGTATCTGCTATAAACACCCAACATCCCATTAATAAGCAATCCAGAGAACATGGGATTGGCACTGTCCCTGGATGCCCAACTCTTCAAGAGGATAGGAAACTTTCTGTATTAGCACAGACATTTTACTTGAATGTGGACATCTTATTTTCTACTCATTCTCAATAGATGTGATGTAAAAGATAGGGATCCTAATAATGACTTCAATGAAACTCAAAAGCTAGCTTACCAGGCCCTGATGGCTGGGACTGCTCACTCTTCTGGGTGTTGTTCACTGGCCGGGAGACAGGACGAGGTATATTGGCTGCCTGCAATTGCTTCTGTCCCAGTTTCTGACTGGAGACGAGCTTTTGTGCGTGCAAAGGAACACGCTGGGAAGAATTTGAAGGACACAAGATCCGCTGAGCCTGGCCACTGCTTGTAGTCAACGGGTTCTGAGAAGGAATATGCTGAGTGACCAGAACACGTTTTGGACCTTCACCATGTGGAACTGTAGCCTGAAATAGGAAGGAAACAAGCTTTATGGTCTTCAGAATAAAGGTTGGATGTTTTGAGAATTCCGGAGTTTCCTAGCACAGCAAAATAATGAATAGCACTGATAATAAATGGAAGGGAAAGGCTATTTTAATGAGCATTTCCACAGGAATGAAAATGGTTGAAAGAGATAACTGAATACTTCCTATCCTAATTCCTCACCCCCCCCACCAAAAAAAAAAAAAAAACTCATTCTATTAACATATGTTCATTAATTAAACTTCCATCTACTGAGGGGAACACTAAATATTTTCTAAAAATTCTCAATGCCTTGGAAATATACTCCCTAAACTGCTTTCAAAACCAAACACAAAAATTCCAATCCATTAAAATCATTTTGAGGGCTGGGCTGTAGCTCAGTGGTCAAGTGTTTGCCTCGCATGTGTGAAGTACTGGGTTCGATCCTCAGCACCACATAAAAATAAAGATACTGTGTGTTCATCTACAACTAAATAAATATTAAAAAATAAAATAAAATAATTTTGATAATACATGTTTAGAAAAAAGACTGTCCAACAATGTTTATCTTCAAGCAAAGTCTAAATTTTGTTACACACCAGACTTTCCACAATAAATTTATTACTATTATTTGCCAATGTTTTATTTTCCAAGTGCTTACAAACATAGGCTCTTCAAAAGTTATTACTAAAATGTGTTTATACACCTGTGTGAAGTGTAACAGTTAACTCTAAAACCCTGAGCTAATCACACTAAATTGATGGAGTGGGTGAGATTTACTCTAGCTCCAACAGCCCATCTAAAACCAAGGGCCTATGCAGAGAAGAGAAACCTCAAAGCCCATCACCAGTTCATCAGCCTGAATGCTCCAGAGAGGGTGCTCAAGAGTTCAAATGCAAGCCAATTACTTCTGAAGGAAGCACCCACAACACACTAGACTGTAGGCAAATCCAGGAGTGCAACAGGGAGCTAAAGTCACAACCCAAAGTAAAGCTGAGAAAAATTTCAGATGACAGCCTGATCTCCATGTGAGTTTTATAAATATGATTGCAAACTATTCAATTTACCTTAACGGGCCCTGAAACACAGTTTTCTTTAGATCTGTCCATGATGCCTGCAAAGAAAAAGAACAACCTTTAAAAACAGCCTCCTGCTCCAAAGTGTTGTGCTAGGCAGTTACAGCTGTCCATGAAAGGCCTCCACACACATCTTTATATTTCATCCCAATGAAGCTGATGAGGGAGGACTTCTCTCATCTGACACACATACACAGGCGTGTGGCTTTTCTCGCCAAGCCAACCCCTCCCTCCCCCATACACTGCATGTCATCCCATCCCTTCAAGCACTCTTCACTCCTGGATTTGACTTCCTGCTCTAATGATCACTTCCTTCCATGCACAGACAGCTGGAATTCCTGCTATCTTAGAAGCCCCTCTTACCCCAGAGCTGCCTCAAGCCACAACCCCATTACTCACTTCTCCTTCCAACAGCAAAGCTCCCTCATATCTATTTCTCACCCTCCCCGAGTCCATTCCCCACTAAGCTTTTATCTTTGCCACTTTAAGGACTCATGGCTGAACCCTAGCGCTGTCAAAGCAAATAATTCCACCTTCATCTGCATCTCAGCAGCAGCTGGCTTTGTGGCTCACCTCTTCCTACTCCCTGCTGTTAAGGTTCGGGTTTATCTCCCACCTCACTAGGTGTTTTTTACCCTTCTTTGCTGGTTTGGCCTCATTTTCCCCCAAACTGTGCTGTCTGGGATGATCCAAGAATGAGTATCCTCTACTTCTACCCTTTAATAGAGATCTTCATCCTATGCCTCAGCTCTAAATACCTCTTAATAGAGGTATCATAATGGATAACTCAAAATGCATCTTCTACCCTAATCTCTCTTCTGACTGCTGGACTCAAATATCCAAGTACCTGCTTAGGACCTCCCAGAACTGTCCGACAGGCATCTTGATACTAATGCATCCAAAAGGCAACCTCTTCTCACCCCTCCACACTCCTTTCTCCTCCCTGCTCATGGAGTACCCTGAGGTCAAGCCCAGCACTACTATCTACACAAACTACTTAGTACCTACACACACTCCCAAGGTGAGTTCACACGATCTCCTTGTACCACCCACAGGCTGAGGATGCCCAAATACCCATCTCCAGCACAGACCTTTCTCTAAACTCCAGATTTAGCTTATCTACTTTCTATTCAACATCTCCACTTGGTTAACATCTCATTTTTTTTTTTTTTTAAAGAGAGAGTGAGAGTGAGAGAATTTTTTTATAATATTTATTTTTTTTTTTTTTTAAGTTTTCGGTGGACACAACATCTTTGTTTGTATGTGGTGCTGAGGATCGAACCAGGGCCGCACGCATGCCAGGCGAGCGTGCTACCGCTTGAGCCACATCCCCAGCCCAAACATCTCAATTTTAACATATCCAAAACTGATGTTTTGATCCCTCTCACAGACATCCCCATTTCAGCTGATGGCAAATTCGTTCTGCCAGCTGCTCTGGATGAAAGCCTTAGCATAACCCTTTCTGTAGTTACTTTTCTCTCAAACCCCATACCTAAATCCATTAGCATACTTTGTAGGCTCTACCTTCAAAACTATCACTGCTTACCATCTCTACTGTTACTATCTACTTTAACCATAATTTTGTCCCCTGGATTACTTGCAAGATAACTCCTAAAGATCTCCCCACTTCCACCTTTGCTTCACTATGGTCCACTGATCCCATCAACGTGACATGCTAGTCCTTGGTACAGAAGTCCCCATGGTTCCCCAGCTTCATCAAAACATTGCAAACTCTTACATGCACAGAGAAGCCTATGAACTCATAAAATGTGGATCCTGACCACCTGACTTCCTTTGTCCACTGCATATGAGTCACACAAAGCTTTTCTTCAAAGGTGTCTTCTGCTCAAGGCCTTTGAACTTCCTGTTCCTTTTACCTCTTAATTTCTTTCTCCACATGTTTAGCTCACTCCAGTTCATTCAGATCTGTGTCCAGTGCTTCCTTACTGAATAATCTTATGGTTCTCCATAGCCCTTAACATCTTATATCATCATGTGCATCTGTTTACTGCCTATTTCCCCAGACTCAGATATCCTTTGTTACCGCTCAGAAACTCCACAGATATAAGTCCCATGAGAGCAAGAGCTTAGTCCTATTGTGTTCACTGTTGCCAGCCTAAAGCTAGAATAGCATCTAGCATACAACTCACACTCCAGTGCTTTGGGAATGAACCAATTCACTGACAAAGGAAATCAATAATAAGAGTCAGGCACAAATACCTATCTAATAGAAGAAATACCAAAGAAAGCAGAAAAACCTTCTTGACCTAGGTGTTCTTTTTATTCTAGAATCCAATCAGAAAGCATTCCCCATTCCCAGAGTTTCATATCCACTTTACAAATAATACCTCCACAATGAAGACAGTAACTGGACTAACAAGCCCAGAGCCTTTATATAAAACAGTGGATTAGTAACAGTTATAAAAAGGAAATTCATGTTTGTGCCAAGCAAATGTTATTTTTTTTCCACAGAAGCTCTAGGCTTTCTTCACCTTCCCTAATAATTACAAGCAGCAGACTAATGAGATCACATATGCTCAAGGCCTTTTAGTCAACATTCTTCTAGAAGTACAGACATTTGTTCAAATTTATTTTCTTTCACAGTTAGATGAATAAGCATAGTGGAATAATATTCTGATCCACAATTCCCCACTGCTCTTCAGGTGATTCAGATCTGCAACCAGATTCAGGAATCACATGACCAATGACCTTCACAGGCCCAGGCAGTTAAAACTAGAGGATTACTAATGTGCAGAGGAAAATATTTAACAGCACAGCGGATTTCATAATCCTTTTTTTCCTCCTTCAGACCTATGGATGTCTTCAGAGATGAAGGGGAGGGTCAAAGAAGTGTATATCTTGCCCAAGTGCCTTTATTCAAGGGAACAAGGAGGTTAAGGAGGAAGTGGAGACATGAAAAGTCGAGGGCAGTAGCTCCCTCTGCCTCACCGGATGTCTGTTATCTGGGTCCCAGTCCCAGTCTTCATTTTAACATCCCCCCAGAATTAGCATGCAAGGGCTGCGCTACTAGCTCTCAATGTAAGAATCCCCTGGAGGGCTTGTTAATGACACGGGAATCCCACCCCGAGATTCTGATTCGCTGCGCCTGCAGTGGGCTCTAGTTTTTGACCAGGACCCTGAGAAGACCCCACAATGCACCCAGGTCTATAGCAGGGGAGGCCGAACCAGGCCAGCCTCTGCGAGGTCCCCCTAGTACTGCCCTCCTTCATCCAGCCAGCAGGACAACGGACCTTCCAGCTCTTCTACTGAAGTGGCCCCGCTAAAGCTCAGCCCTATTCGCCTCCTTCGCAAGCCCCGCCGCGGCCGCCGGGTATCTTCCCAGCTCGTAGACTCCCAGCCCCACGACGGCGAAGGCTGTCTCTTCTTACCAGGTCTCCACCGGCACAAAACCCGGGCAGAAAGCCCACCCCAGACACCCAATCCGCTTCCACAGCCAGGGGCGAAACCCAGCAGCCGCGTCCCTCGGCGCTCAGCCGCGGGAGCGGGAGGACGGGCTGGGGAGGCGGCCGGCGCAACGGGAGTACACCCCGGCCCTGGTCCGCAGCCCTAGTCCACCGCACCCAGCGGGCCCCCCCTGCCCACCCTACCCACCAGCAGGATCACGCCTCCGACCCCGGGCCGCCGAATCCTCCCTAGAGCTCAGCCGTTACAATTCAAAGGTTCTTCTTTTTAAAGAAGAGTTAAACCCTCTAATCCGAAAGATGATTGGCTTAAGCCAGGGTAAGGCTGCTTTGTGATTGGTTCACAACAAACGCGACGACCTGACTCACGTTACAAGACGCAGGCGGCGCGCCGGCGCACTTGCGCGTGAGATTACGGAAGTGGTGGAGCCAACGGAGCGCCAGACCCGGGGCCGTTCTAGCGTCCATGATGCTTTCTAGGCTGTGGCATTTGTTTGTAAGACAGCAGCCCCTTGGTGTCAAGGTTGTCGCATAGAAGATACTGTCGGAGGAGGCGAACGAACGTGCCAGTAAGTAAGATGGCGAGATGGGCAGGAGAGAATGGGATCGATCGATAGCGCAGCACTCGGCGTGGCGCCCTTTGCGCGTGCGCAATGAACGTGCGCGCCGAGCGATCCATTGGGCAGGGTTCGCGCCTCCATCTTTCTGGGAGAGAGCGGGAGACCGAGAAAGCCGTATCAGCGGGTACGGAGATGCGGGGACACGGGGCGAGCGGCCGGTGCGGTCGGCTGGGGCATACAGAGGGTCACGTGAAGGACTGGGCGGGCAGGGCGAGAGCGAACGGGAGACGTGCGCCCGAGTTCTGCGTGCTGAGTTGTCCGACCGGGCCTGCACACCCTTTCTCCCCGGGCCTCCATCTGCCTCTGCTTCCCGGTGCTCGCGGCGCGTTCGGCTAGGGGCCCCTGCGCCCTCGGCTCGGTCCGCTTCCTGGCCGGTGGTCGCCGATCCTGGCCCGGAGTCTCTTGTCCTCGTGCCTCAGTGTCCCCACCTGCGAATTGGAGAAGATAAACAGGCTTCCCCAGCCCTCGAGCGAACGTTCAGGAGGAGCTGAGAAGTGGGGCTTGGGCGCTTTTTTTTTTCTTTTTAAAAATCTCTTTGTTCACCCCCCCACCCATGGCCGGAGTTAAAAGAGAATAGTGAGGTGGTTAAGTTGTGGGCCCTGGAGTGGGACAGCTCTGAAGGCCGCTCTAACCTTGGAAGAGTTACTAGCCACACTTTACTTTGAATGGTGTCCTTTGCTATTTGAGCTCATTTCATCAACTCTTTTGTGCTCTAATATCGTCTGCACAAATGTACTTTTACACTTGTATTTGCTTTATTTTTCAATACATTGAATGCTTTCATTTAATAAATCAATGTCTATAAACTGCTTAGCACGATATCTGGCAAGTAGGAAATACATGATAAATATTGTTATTGACACCTAACACTGTGCAAGAACTCAGGCCTTGAGCCCACTTTTATTCTCTGTTACTGTCTCCAGACACCTGCAACCTTCTGATCTGTGCAAGCATTCACATACATATATTGGTATTTGATAATCAAATTTTTTATCATGGCCACCTATTGGAGTCTTCTTGCATAAATCAAAAACCTCCACCTGTGGTTTGTTTCATTTTTAAAGACTGAAGGAGAACTTAGACATATGAGTGCACAGTATGCTATTCTTTTCCATTTTTGTAGTTATGGCCCTATCTTATTGGCAATGTTTCATTAAGCAGTTTACCCTTGAATCTTAACAAATTAGTTAATTTTGTTTCTTTTTATAGTACAATAGCTTTTTTTTTTTTCCTTCACCTACTGGCTTACTACTTAAATTATCTAATTATAGTAATAAGCTCATTTGCCTTAAAACAGGTTTTAAGAGTGAACATTACAGCCAATAGTAAACACAACTCAGCTGTGGAAACAGTGCATTCAACAGAATAGCAGCTGTCTTGCCTATTAACAGAAGAAATGGAAGATTTTAGGATAGTAACAAAGATTAAAAATCATAGGTGGATAGTGTGGCAGAGAAGAAAAGATGCTGGTGGATTCTACTGCAAATATTGGCTAACATTAACTTGAATAGTTTATGTATGCCAAGCCCTGAGCTCAGTGCATTATATACACCATCTCATTTGACCTCTAGTAATTTATGTAACAGCTGAGAGACCTGAGCTCAAAAAAATAAAAAATAAGGTTACTAAACTAAAGAAAATACAGCTAGTAGAGCTGGGATTTAAACCCTGCAAGATTATTTGACCAAAGAATCCTGGATTACTTATGTGATTTACTAGTGCCTCCACGCTTCACCATCCACCTTGTTTTCTTGCAGCTGAGAAACAGTTCTCTACTCCAACATGTACAGAACCAAAGTGGGCTTGAAGGACCGCCAGCAGCTCTACAAGCTGATCATTAGCCAGCTGCTCTATGATGGCTACATCAGCATTGCTAATGGCCTCATAAATGAAATCAAGCCTCAGTCTGTCTGCGCACCCTCGGAGCAGCTCCTGCATCTCATCAAACTAGGTATCTTATGTATGCAAATTTATAGATCCCATACTTAAGTTTCAGATGTTTTCCCACAGCAGAATTTTTTGAGAGTATTCCTATTTAGTTATGGTCTCTAATAGGTATTAAATACTGCTAGACACTGAAAGGGTAAAGTGCAGTCCAGATCATGGAGACTTCAGGCTGGTTCTAATGCATTTGTACACATGAACTAGAGCACTCTATTGACTTCCTTTAAATCTCAGCTCAGATGGCATCTTAGATTCCCCTTTACCCCTTTTAAAATAATTCCTGAGTGCACAGTATGCTATTCTTTTCCATTTTCCTCATACCTCCCTAATTATTCTGCCTCAATAATTCTATTTCTTTCATGACAGATTTACTGTTTATAAGTTCTTTCATTGTCTTGAGGTTGTTTTCTTGGCAGTTCTCACATTTTCATTCCCTAGCATTCACAAATAAAGACTGCAAGCTCTATAAAGAACAGAAGAACCTTGTCTCCTTCATCCATTTATCCTGAGGCCTACCTGACATTTAATAAGATGTTTAATTATCAAACATATTGTTCTCTTTAGCTTGGTGAAGCCAATTGTGACAATTTATCCTGAGGAAATAAAGAGGATAAACTAAAATGCAACTATTAATATACTATTATTTATAAAGTTTTAAATGTCCATAAAATTAGATGCAACAATGTAATAATGTTGTAGATGAATGTTTATTAGCTCAGACAGGGTTTTATTCTGTGTGTTTTAATAGACAATATAGCACACAGTGCCAGTCTATTTTTGTTTTAAAAAACAAAACTATTTTGTGCATGGGGAAAGAACCAGAAGAAGTCAGACCACAATGTTGACAGTAATATTTGCAAAAATTTGAGATCATTATTATTTTCTTATTTGTATAGTTTTTCTTATTGTTTATGTGATGTATGTGGTTATTTTTAAATTTAAAATGTATATTCTGAACCGACTTTAGTTAATTTAGCCTACATTCTTTCAAAACCAGTTCACTAATGGTTAACACTCTAGCTGACTACTTTGTATCTGCAACTAACAGATCTCAACTTTAAAAATATTACATTTTAAAGGGAAAAAGATGGATGATTTAACTACAGAACTGCTAGTTTATTGGGTTTCTATAGCTGTAGTTATAGTAGTATACTTTGGAGACAAGAACCTAGGGAGTTGACTTTGGTTGTGGGGGCCTTTTCTTGCTCCAGCCCAGTGTTGAGAACCTTGGACAGCATGGCAGGGAACATAATTTTGTAAAGGTTTGGGTGTCATGCAGCCCACAGAAATTGTAAGTTGATGTTGGTGAACATCTTTAGTTTTGGATCCAGAACTTTGTCTTGGCATTTAATTTTTTTTTTCATGTTTTTAATTTTGATTTCTTCTAGGAATGGAAAACGATGACACAGCGGTTCAGTATGCAATTGGTCGATCAGATACAGTTGCCCCTGGCACCGGGATTGACTTGGAGTTTGATGCAGATGTTCAGACAATGTCCCCAGAGGCTTCTGAATATGAAACATGCTATGTCACATCCCATAAAGGACCATGCCGTGTAGCTACCTATAGTAGAGATGGGCAGTTGATAGCTACTGGATCTGCTGATGCTTCCATAAAGATACTCGACACAGAAAGAATGTTGGCCAAAAGTGCTATGCCAATAGAGGTAAAAACCCCAGTAGTGTACTCACCATTTGCCTTGTGTTTCTCATTCTCAAGAAAGCAAGCAAATGATTTAAGCTAGCTCTGATTTACCATAGCTGTGGATTGTATTCTTTGATGTAAGCAGATTCTGTGCGTTGAGTGTCTCTACTTTTTTTTTTTTTTTTTATCTAGGTCATGATGAATGAGACTGCACAGCAGAACATGGAGAACCACCCAGTCA